ATTTGTATGGACGTAATGCGCAAACAAATGTGTATATTCAAATAAATTTGAAAGTTATAAAAAATGGATAAAAATATTGGTTTTCACTCTTTACCACTTATCGTGCCGAAAATGAACATTAAAAAATGAATGGCGAAATTCGTTGGTAAATGAAACGACCGTGAACAGTTCCAAGAGAAATTTTGAAATATCATAGATAAATACCTATAGAAAATTTAATTTAGAATTAAAGGAGCATCGTGGCTGAGTCAATAACCTGTCAAGATATACCACTGCTGGTTACGGGTTCGATCTCCCATGAAGAAATCTTTTTTCATCTTCTTTTTCTTCATTTTACTACAAAAATTATTCAAGGTTCCTCTCTTTTAACCTTTCTAGGTTGCCCAAAACTTATTTTAAGTTTATATATATTTTTTAAAATTTTATCTATGACAGAATCGACTAATATTTTAAACGCCCGCTCGTGCCCCGCGACCGGCGACTTGAGCGATTGCGGGTCCTCTCTCGCTGAGGGGCCTCCTATTGCTGTTACTGCTGCCGCTGGTTCTTATAATCTTATAAATACTTTTTTATTTGCAATCTTCAGTTCCAGCGCCCAGTGTAAACTCAATAAGATTTACTATGAGAAAATAATTAGCTGACTTCATTACCTGGAATCAATAATCTTGAGAAGCAAATATGGAAATGAGCATTATATCTGTCTGTAATTGTTCGTCCACGTGAAGAAGGGTGCCGCGAAAGTTCTTAACTGGTGTGCATCTTCATATTATTCTGCTTATATGTAAAGTAAGCGAAACGACAATAGTAAGCAGTTGAATAAACGATCAAATTTTAGAAATAAAACTTCCGAAAAAGGTAAAACGAACAGATGTATCTGGCGTCTGGCTAGTGCACCCGGTTACGAATCGGGAGGTCTGTGGTTCGAGACCCCCACTATGGAGAGCATTTTTTTTACAAAAAAAAATGTGCTTTTGCATATGGGATTAACAGATTAAAGAGTATATCCAATTAATTTATTTATCTTCTTGTATTATATCTTGTATTCTATCTTCTTATCTTATCTGTAATAAGATAAATAAATTAATTGGATATACTCTTTAATCTGTTAATCCGGAGTCTTCTTTGGGTGCGTTCCACTTAACGCTCGCAATGCTCGCGTCCACGACCGTAAAATTTCGTGTTCCACCAGCTTGTGGACTGTTGTGGACGTCGTGGTCGAAAACTTAAGTGGAACGACTTATCGGACTTGTGAACGATACAAAGATGGCTGGTGTTGTAGAGAATATGTGTATAAGGCTAATGTGTGAACGGAATTATGTTTCTGAGATTTCATCAAGCTCAGATGACGACCCATTATACAGGAATCATTAATCATGAAAAAAAAAACCAAAACTCGATTTTTAAAATGTTCTGTATTTATATACAAAAGGAAAGAACTAAAAAATATTGTTTAAGAATTAAAATAACAAACTTAAACTGACAACACCCTAATAGTTGAGATTATCCTCTGATATAAAAAAAAACTAAAACTCGATTTTTAGAATGTTCTGTATTTATATACAAAAGGAAAGAACTAAAAAATATTGTTTAAGAATTAAAATAACAAACTTAAACTGACTACACCCTAATAGTTGAGATTATCCTCTGATAATATTAATCTCTATTAATAATATCTAGGTAATTCATATCTGTAGAAATAAACTAAACATTTGAAAATAAAACAGTGATTAACGATTAAAGGAACGAAATATATCTATCTGTCCCTCTCGGAATCGTACAGCGTTATTTTTTCAGTCTCCATCATAAATTTGAATTGAAAATGGCGCACAAAAACATCAAACGACCACAAAGACCCACCTATTTAATGTGGGCGAAGCGATCGCATCGCGGTCGCCAATGATGACGTCAGCGATGACGTTTCAGGAACTGCTCACAGCGACCGCGGCCTTAAGTGGAACGAGACAGAGGGTGTTACGATCGTTGCGAGCGTTAAGTGGAACGCACCCTTTATAATAATCTGAGACTTTCGCTTACGTTACTGTGTCGCCTCGTGCTCCGTTTTGGATTAATACACATTCATTTCGTTATCCCCTATATCCATTTCTCAGCCAATCACAGCCTTTGGTGCTCGCCGTGCAGCAGAGGTATGACTCTTAATACCTCGTGCATTAATTGATGACCACCAAATGTTTTAATTAGACTAGCAATCATCGGCTAGCGTTCTTGCATTGATTAATTCTTTCGAAGGGAGAATCTGTTCAGAAATATCTGTTTTATCGACCGTAAATGTGTGTTCCTACACCCATATCCAGCCAATGCTGAACACTGAAATTGTTTTATTAATTTTTTACGAAAACTAACGACCATCAAACATTTTAATTATGATATTCGTTACCACAAAACGATTACGCATCGATTGAGCACCTAAAGAACTTAATTCGTTGAAAACAAAAAAAATGTCGGCTAACTTCATGGTCAAATTTTGATTATTTGATTATAAAAGAATGACTGACCACCAAATGTTTTTATTAGGCCACCAATGGCCACCAAACGACCACCAATCGATTTGGTATGATAAAAAGTTAAAAAGTTAAAATTGCTCGGCTAACTTCACTGAGGTCAGCGCGTCAGCGTCAGCGCCTCTCGCTGACGAGTGGATCATGATACAAATAGACGAGGTATAGCCACTACCGGTTCTGCGCATTTGGACGGTGACGTCACTGGACCAGTATACTCTGATTGGCTGACCATTCGTTGCCGCGATGTTCTTATGTTTTAACCATAGATATAGAAAAGACATAGATGTAGCATCAACTGATATTTTAGGCGAGGGGCGTGAGGCAACATGAGGGGGGGGGGAGTTCGTTGCATAACCAATCAAATTCAAGCTGACCCTTAGTGTGCCTTAACATGATTGGTACTACTATTCCTTGTATTACATAGCACTTTTACATCACTGCGCTTGCTTCCAATAGTAACCAATCACAAGTAGGCACAGTCAACCTCGGCACCCCTTCCTGGACGGCTTCCACCCCGCAGGCAGAGATGAGTAGGGAGATTGCCAATGAGCCTGTTTTTGGTGGTCGCAATTTTTCTCTGGTTTCGGCGCGCCACCTTAGCGGAGGGCCCTCGAAGCAGTTCCACGTTTTTGATTGGTCGTGTATATACAGTAATACCAGAGATGAGTAGGGAGATTGCCAATGAGCCTGTTTTTGGTGGTCTCAATTTTTCTCTGGTTTCGGCGCGCCACCTTAGCGGAGGGCCCTCGAAGCAGTTCCACGTTTTTGATTGGTCGTGTATATACAGTAATACCAGAGATGAGTAGGGAGATTGCCAATGAGCCTGTTTTTGGTGGTCTCAATTTTTCTCTGGTTTCGGCGCGCCACCTTAGCGGAGGGCCCTCGAAGCAGTTCCACGTTTTTGATTGGTCGTGTATATACAGTAATACCAGAGATGAGTAGGGAGATTGCCAATGAGCCTGTTTTTGGTGGTCTCAATTTTTCTCTGGTTTCGGCGCGCCACCTTAGCGGAGGGCCCTCGAAGCAGTTCCACGTTTTTGATTGGTCGTGTATATACAGTAATACCAGAGATGAGTAGGGAGATTGCCAATGAGCCTGTTTTTGGTGGTCTCAATTTTTCTCTGGTTTCGGCGCGCCACCTTAGCGGAGGGCCCTCGAAGCAGTTCCACGTTTTTGATTGGTCGTGTATATACAGTAATACCAGAGATGAGTAGGGAGATTGCCAATGAGCCTGTTTTTGGTGGTCTCAATT